TATATAAAAACATACTTCATATGTATGCATTTTTTAAATCCTTATAATTACCATCTGAGTTTTTTTACTATTTGGAGAATGTTAGAGCTTCATAAATTGTGATGCATGTTGAAAATTTCTTCAGGGGAGTGCTGCAGATATCTTGTATCCATTCATTCAGTTCAATCCATAATTTTATCTTGTGTAAGACTATTCCAAATTTTAGTACAACAGCTAACATAGCTACTATAGGGGTAGAAAAACTCCCCTCCATCCTTTAGTGTCTTGGTTGAGTCTAAAAATTAAATTGACATTAGATTAACAGGAAAAAAAATACAAATTTACTCATCAAATATTATGGGACATGGGAGCACATGAAGAAATGAAGACCTGAAGAAATAGTCAGTTACTTAAATACTGGATTGAACAAAGAATAGTAAACTATAAATATGTGACTAAATTATGTGGGGATGCTAAAGTCTGTACAGAATTCTCTTGTTCTCATCTTCTCATCCTTGAAGATAAGGAACTTGCAAGGTAATGAAGGAGATAGACAGCTATCTAAATAAATTAGTTATCTTTACAATATGTGCTAAGACAGGAAGATGCCAGGGTGCTCTGAGGATACTGGTAGGAGGGGTCACTCTGACCTGAAGACATACGTAAGGCTTCCTGAAATCTGACCATTTCTATCGCCACTACTGCACCTGAGGTCCACGTCATCATCATCACCTGTGTCTCGGCAATCGTTTCCTAACTGGCCTGCCTGCATCCACCCTAGTCCCCAGACAATAGTGTGTGTGTGTGTTTGTGTGTGTGTGTGTGTGTGTGTGTGTGTGTGTGTGTGAATGTAACGTGTATCCTGTTACATCCTCAATTAAAACTCAATTAAATCGGTAAAATTCCTAATTAAACTCCAGTGGTTTCTCATGTATTTAAGAGTAAAATCTAGGCTCCCTTTTTTGGCAAACAAGTCCATAGTAAATCTGGCTCCTGCCTTCTTCTCTAATTTCATCTCATTCCATCTCCCTGCAGTCACTTTCTCCAGCCACCCTGCCCTTATTTCTGTACCTCTCCCTTGGCAAGCTCATTCCTCTGCCTCCAGGCTGTGCATTCACCATTCTTCTGTCAGGAAAAAGTGTTTCTACATTTTCAGTTGGCCAGCACCAATCTTAGCTCACGTTTCACTTCCTACAGATGCCTTCGTTGACCGGCTTCTATCCTCCCCAGGGTCTCTCCTCTTTTATATCCCTCTTTTATTATTACCTGAACTCACCAGTGTGTTGCTTATATTTTTGTTTTCTGCCTCCATACTCCAGGATGTCGTTTCCGTGAGAGCTAAAATCCCTCCTGCCTTGTTCTCTCTTGTATCCCAAGGCCTTGGCACTAGCAGCTGCTTCATACGTGTTTACTGAATGAATAACGAATGAAAGTTGTCTGAATTGAGCTTAGATGGATGAGTAAGACTCACCCAGTGTAAGAATAGTGGGAAAGTGAAGAGAATAGCATGAAGGAAAGACACCAAGGCATGACTCGGCATGGAATGGGCAGGGATATAAGCAGCTCAGTGTCACTGGAGAGTGGTGTCAGCAGAGAATGGAGGTAGATGTGGCTGGTGATAGAAATTAGCTCACAGAAGCTGTTGTACTCCATGATCTTGGACTTTTTTGATTTAGAGATGGGGAGACCTGCAGATTTTGGGTTAAATCTGTGCTTCTCAAACGTTTTAACAGCAACTCACAAGAAATACATTTTATATATCTGTGAACTGAGATCCATCCCCAGCTTTTAGAGGCTGTCACATTCATTGGCTCCTGGCTCCTTCCTCCACTTCAAAGCCAGCAGCAGCGGAGTGAGTCCTTCGTACATCGTATCTCTCTGACCCACTCTCTTGCCTTTCTTTTACACTTTTAAGGACTCCTGTGATTACACTGGGGCCACTTGGTTCATCCAGAATAATCTTCCCATCTCAAGGTCCTTCACTTTAATCACATCTCCAAAGTGTTTTTATTATTTGAATATGTTCACAGATTCTGGGGATTAGAGCGTGGACATCTTTATTGGGCCATTTTGCTGCCTACCACAGGGATGTTTATAGGGAATTTTCTAAAGATCATATTCCTTTCTCTCCTTCGCATCTTTCTTTGAATAGACATTTATTGAATACCAACTGTTTCCCAGTGTTAATTGCTGATATTCAGCAGTGAGCAAGATAGTTAATGTTCTTGCTTTTATGGGGCTTATATTCTAGTATAAAAGACAGATGACAAACAAGTAATTAAGTAAAGAAATAAGGTAGTTACAGATTGTGCCATGAAGACAATAATAATGTGATGAGTAAGAATCAACTGGGGAAGACCACACTGGTCAGGGAGGGTGTGGGAAGGATAGAGACAGCGGTCAGGGAGGGGCTTCCTGGGCAAGTAACACATGAGCTGAAATCTAAAGGATATAAATACATCAACCACATGAAGAAACAAGGGAAAATGATTCTAGCAGAGGAAAATGCCAAGTCCCCTAGGCAGCAAAGAGCATGCCTGCATTGTTCAAGGAACAGTCTGGAGGCCAGTGTGAATGGAGCAGAATGAGCCAGGCAAGAATATAAAGTGATGATGGCAAGATGGGAGGAAGTGAGGCCATGCAGTGGCTGAGAGATCGTGTGTGGTATGGGCTGTGGATAATTTACCAACAGCAGTAGGTATCTGTTGAAGGATTTCAAACAGTGGTGGTGTGCAGCGGGTAACATGATCTGATTTATGTTTTTAAAAGGGAGTGAGCTATGTGAAAATGGCTTAGAAAGGGCAAGGCTGGATTGGAAAAACATGTTGGGGGCTAGTGTAGACTAGGGGAGAGATGACAGTGGTTTGAACAAGGGTGAGGGGACAGTTGGAATGGAGAGAAGTACATTGATCTGTAACATGTTTTCAGGGTAAAGTTGACAGGACTAGAGATGGTTTCGCTGTAGAAGATGAGAAAGAGGTTGGAATCAAAGATGACTTGTAGATGTTTTTAACAACTTAGGGGTAAGAATGTCATTCACTGAGATAGAAAAGGCTGAAGGAAGAACCAGTTTGGAGAAGGGGTGCCAAGCATTCAAACTGAACACCTTAATATTGAGAAGGCTGTTAGACATTCAAGAGGCGATGACAAGGAGAAAGATGGATGAGACTGGAGCTCAAGGGGATGTGTGAGTTGAAGATCTATGTCTGAAATCTTTAGCTTGCAGATGACATCCAGAGCCAGGGGACCAGGTGAGATCCCTAAAGAGAAAGTAGAAATAGAAAAAAAAAAAAAAAGAAATACCTTGAGTGTGCTAAGGTCCTCCAGGAGTTAAAAATCAAGAGGAAAAGAAAGAGTAGCCAGCAAAGACTTGGGCTAATATTATTTAGGGTTTTCCTGAATGATGACTAGGCTAGAGGTAGAGGAATCAAAGGGCACTTTCCTAGAACCCCACAGGGACAAGATTGCTGTATCTCCAGCACTTATTGTGCCTAGCACATGAAAGGCAGCCATCCATATTGAATGCATAAGTGACATTGTCTGAAGCTCTTCAGTATCTTCTGCATATGTCGAGGAATGGGGTTAAGAGGTAAACTTTTGCTTTGCATTGGCTACCTTTTAGTGGCCTGACATTACAGAACTTCCCAGCCTACTTTATGAATTTTTGGCCTATCTTTAATAGAATTTTAAAAATTTATTACTGACCAGTGGAGCCATTTCTTAGGTTTGAATGGGAAACAAATCAGAAATTGCCAGCTTATGTTTTCTGACATATTCAAGATAAAATCACTCTGTCAAATAAATAACTAATTAAAAAACGAGCTTCTCTAGAAAATGCAAACAGCCCTTGGAATTCCTTTTTTACTGCCAAAGAGATCAGTCTTTTACTACTAAGTTCCAGATGGGTTATGAACCATTTTTCAATATATATTTCCAGAATGACATGACTGGATTAGAAACTCTAATTAGTGAAAATACTCTGTCTGATATGATGATGAAGCCTTGTTTGAAAGAAAAAGTAAAAGAAAAAGTGTTGTGTGGGACTAAGGTTCAGACAGGTTAAGTAATTTGCAGATAGTCTCAAGCATTTAAACCCAGTTCTAAAGGACCCCAAAGCCCATTGCTATGGTCTGAATGTTTATGCCCTGCTCCCAAATTCATATGTTAAAATCCTAACTCTCAAGGTGATAATATTAGGAGGTGGGGTCTTTGGGAGGTGATTGGGTCATGAAGGTAGAATTTTCACGAATGGGACTAGTGCTCATGAAAGCTCTGTTGTCCCTTCCACCATGAGAGGTCACAGCAAGAAGGCCACATCTATGAACCACCTATGAAGTGGGCCCTCACCAGACACCAAATCTGCTGACCTCTTAATCTTGGACTTGCCAGCCTCTAGAACTGAAAAATAAATTTCTGATGTTTATAATCTACCCAGTTTATGAGTATTTTGTTATAACAGCCCAAATGGACTAAGACTGCCAGTTCCTTCTCTAATCCTTTGCTGACCCCAAGAAGTTTCACTGAGTTGGGGGTTGGAAGGTGGCTAAGATATTGGATTTACTAGTTTTTTTTTTTTGAGACGGAGTTTCGCTCCTGTTACCCAGGATGGAGTGCAATGGCACAATCTCGGCTCACCGCAACCTCCGCCTCCTGGGTTCAGGCAATTCTCCTGCCTCAGCCTCCTGAGTAGCTGAAATTACAGGCACGCGCCACCATGCCCAGCTAATTTTTTGTATTTTTAGTAGAGACGGGGTTTCACCATGTTGACCGGGATGGTCTCGATCTCTTGACCTCGTGATCCACCCGCCTCAGCCTCCCAAAGTGCTGGGAGTACAGGCTTCAGCCACCGTGCCCGGCCTGGATTTACTAGTTTTAAAGGTATATATCATTTTTTTAGAATAACAAACAAAATTTCAACAAAGTGGAGAAAAATAAAGTGATACTTAAAACTATTCTGAACTCTTTTGGCTCTGGTATTTTCTAAATGCATTTGACATGAATGAATTTGTCTTCTTTTGCAAGGAAGAATACAAAGTTCTATACCAGAGTTGATCGTTGATGGCACGTAGAGGCTGCTCATTGGCACTGATTTTTATAATCATGTGGCTGTTGATTAAAGCAAAAATAGGTAAGATATTTCTATAAGTTACTCTGTGGAAGAATTTGTGGTTTAAATTTTCAGTTACAGATGAAGTATTTATTTGCAGTAAATGTTTAGGTAGTTGGTCTTTTGTGTACAATCTCTGTCATTTAAGTGGATAAGTCTGGTTCTGTCTATGACTAGTAGTTCTTCTATTTAATTTGCACTAATGATTAATATAGGGGTCCAATTATTTTATTTCCTCCTAAGAAAGTGGCTTGGTAATCCAGCTAGGCATCACAAATACATGTTTTACATTTCAGCACATTTTTCTTCCTGCCTCCCACCCTCCACAAGTTCTTTTTTTTTTTTTTTTCTGAGACTGGGTCTGGCTCTGTTGTCCAGGTGAAGCGCAGTAACACAATGTTTGCAATACTCTTTTAATGCTCTTTTAAAACTTTTTTTTTCTTGGTACAAGTATTTAAGTAAAAATTACAAGTTATAAATGGTGATGGAACGAATGTGATTTATTCTGGGAAGGCTTTAGTAGTCTGGTAAATAATTTGCATATTAAGAGAGGCTGGTTTTTCCCAGAACTGTGTTCCTGAATGTTCTTTTAATCCTGCTTTCTCACCACTTTCCTGGTTATAGGTCTGATTATAGTTCTGATTGTAGTAGTACTGTTATGAGCAGAATGCATATTTTCATTCAAATACAGTTAGACTTCAATATGTTTATCTTCTGTTCTCATTACACATCACCATTATAAGCAGAGTCATATAGGTTATTTATATTTGCATGATCCGATGGGGCTAATTTTGTCCTGTTTTGGGGAATTACATAAACTCTTCATTTTGAAATGGGTTTATTATCACAAACTAAATATTGCATTTGTACCTTATTGCAGATGAGTGCAGGAGGGGCGATGTGACTGTGACGCCTTCCCGTGTAATTTTACTTGGATCCACTGTCAATATTTCATGCACTTTGAAGCCCAGACAAGGCTGTTTGAACGCTTCCAGACATAACAAGTTAATCCTGTACAAGTTTGACAGAAGAATCAATTTTCACCATGGCCACTCCCTCAGTTCTCAAGTCACAGGTCTTCCCCTTGGTACAACCTTGTTTGTCTGCAAATTGGCCTGTATCAATAGTGATGAAGTTCAAATATGTGGAGCAGAGATCTTAGTTGGTGGTGAGCATTCCATTTTGAATTTTTAAAACTTGGCAATCTTTTAGTATTTTTCATGTGTTAAGCAGAAACCCAGATACGGGTCCATGTTCTTTCTTTCCCGCCACATTGAAGTATTTTATGTTGATAGCAACATGAGAGCTTCAGTGTGTGAAGTTCAGAAATTGAAATCTTATTTGGCAAGTCAGTCTCTCTCTCTCTCTCTCTCTCTCTCTCTCCCCCCCACTAAAACCATTTATCTGTTGTCCTTAACTTTAGTGGCAGAAAAAGTGGATCTCTGCAGTTGGGTCTTTATGCCTTCTTGACTTATAAGAATGTGTTTAAAGCTACAGCCTCCTAAAAAAAAGAAAGAGATGTCTCTTTAGACTTACGCAGCCCAGGATGACTACGCAGAGTTGAGCAGCACCTCTCGCCCTCCCTAACTTAATGCCCCCCAAAATAGTTCTTCCATCCATGCTCACCTAGACCACTGGTTCTCACACTTCATAGAAGTTAAAAGAAAACATTGATCATACGTATTGTCTTTTCCTCAGTTCTCTAGAAAACTGACTGCAGAAAACAACAACAATAACAAAAAAACAAACAATAAAAAACCTGACCTGCTAACCATTCATGGGAAGGGGGTGTGGGTCAGAGGAGTTACACAGCCCCAAGGAGGCAAGAGGGCAGGAGTGAGCCAGGAGAGGGACAAAAGCAAATACTAGGTGGTAACATGATTGAGCTGGCCACAGCTTCAACATAAAATACAGCTGGTTGTGCCAGGCACGGTGGCTCAAGCCTGTAATCCCAGCACTTTGGGAGGCCGAGGTGGGTGGATCACGAGGTCAAGAGATCGAGACCATCCTGGTCAACATGGTGAAACCCCGTCTCTACTAAAAATACAAAAAATTAGCTGGGCATGGTGGTGCGTGCCTGTAATCCCAGCTACTCGGGAGGCTGAGGCAGGAGAATTGCCTGAACCCAGGAGGCGGAGGTTGCGGTGAGCCGAGACCGCACCATTGCACTCCAGCCTGGGTAACAAGAGTGAAACTCCGTCTCAAAAAAAAAAAAAAAAATACAGCTGGTTGTTTGTGCACTTAGGGACATTTCCAGAAACAGCATATAGAAATCTCACGACAGGAGAAAGAAAGAAATTTAACTATCTCCCATTGGTCAAAGTTCACCTGACAGGGGATCAGTTTCCCACACTGCTGGCTTGCATCGCTGGGCCCTTCCGGCAGCTGCTGGGGGATTAGAACTAGTGTCAAGAGTCGACATCTGCAGCATGAGCCACAGTGCACAGGATGAACCAGCAGCACACCTACTGCAGTTCCCAACCTGCAGCCCACAGCCTTGCACGTCCAACCAGGCAAGCCCGTGAGCAAGCATGAGACCTAAGGGATTCCATGGCACCCTGTGCCTCAGGGGTTCCAGGGAAGCTTTGGGGTGGCAGACAAGAGGCATGAAGAGACTAGGAAGAATTGCTATAGCAGGCTGGCTGACCAAGCCTCATAGACATGGTATCTGTCCTAAAGGCTGTGATACAGAGCTCAGTGAGACTCTGTCCAGGAAAGATGGAAACCTCTTCTCTGTGACCCATAAGGATATATATACATAGCTGGTGCCAGGCAATTTTCCACCAAAAGCATGGAGCAGAAGACCAAGCCAGTGGCCAAGCAGATCATTGGTAGGAGGCATAAGGTAGGCCAAGTACGCACCTTCCAGCTCAGGGCCTCCTGTTCACACCACTGTGAGTCGCGTACTCAGCATTGACAGCCTGCGGTACAGCAGAAGTGCCATGGGCTTTGAATGTCAACTCTGCCAGTAGCAGTGTACCTTAGACAACTTAAATTACCTGAGCCTCAGTTTCTCCGTCTGTAATATAACGGTAATAACATCTACCTCATAAACTGGTTGTAGTCTTAGATCTCCTCTTATATGCAAAGTGCTTAATGCCATTCAAGGCACATGGGAGGCATTTAGGTGATGGCTTCAGGCTTCTCAACAGCAACCTGGAATGTGGAAGGCAACAGAGTTCTGACTAAAAATTCTTTTAGACTTAGAATTCTATACTCAAAGTATCAGTCAAACGTGAGGGTAGAATAAAGACATTTTAAACTATGCTCAAAATATTTCCTCCCATGCACCCTTTCCCAGGGAAATCCTGGAGGCTATGCCCCGCCAACACAAGTCATTCAGCAAGAAGGAAGAAAACATTTAAATCTAAGAAACAAGAGAGCCAAGGGAAAAGGAGAAAGAAGTTAGGACACACTGAGGATGAGCAGTCCCAGAATGACAGCCGGGTACCAGGCATGGAGGCGACCGGTCTTATACTGGAAAGTACACAGGGCTGCAAGAGAGCGGTCCTCAAGCAGATGAAATGGATAGAAGTCCCAATATATTTGAACAGTGTATTGAACAGTGATTGAACAGTGATTCAGATAATTGACTTGAAAGTTTGAAATTTTATTAACAAGAAAACTAAACAAATGGAAAGCAAGATAATTACTAATTCTAAGATAAAAAGTTGTACAGTAAATGTAAAGTGAACAGTATTCTATATGGCTCAGTCATGAGTAGTTTGCATATATGCGTAAGTATACACTGTATAAATATATATATAAATATATCTAAATGTATATATGTACACAGGTACATATGTATATAAGGAAGAGACTTTTTGTTTTTTTTTTTGAGATGGAGTCTCACCCGGACCCCCAGGCTGGAGTGCAGTGGTGCAATCTCAGCTCACTGCAACTTCTGCCTCCTGGGCTCAAGCAATTCTTCTGCCTCAGCCTCCCAAGTAGCTGGGATTACAGGCATTCACCACCATGCCCAGCTAATTTTTGTATTTTTAGTAGAGATGGGGTTTCACCATGTTGGCCAGACTGGTCTCCAATTCCTAAACTCACTGATCCACCACCCTCAGCCTCCTGAGTAGCTGGAATTATAGCCATGCACCACCATGTCTGGCTAATTTTTTTATTTTCTATCTTATTGAAGAAATTAGATTTAGATGGTATAGCCCAGGAGGACATGACTAGGGTGGGTGGATATAAGTGTCTTGACAGCAAATGTCAGGTGAAGAAAGCAAATAAGTCTGTCTTTTTTTTTTTTTTTTTTTTTTGAGACAAGGTCTTACTCTGTCGCCCAGGCTGGAGTGCAGTGGCACGATCTGAGCTCACTGCAACCTCCTGCCTCCTTGAGTCAAGCAATTCTCCTGCCTCAGCCTCCCTAGTAGCCAGAATTACAGGCACCCACCACCACGGCCAACTAAATTTTACATTTTGAGTAGAGACAGGGTTTCACCATGTTGTCCAAGCTGATCTTGAACTCCTGACCTCATGTGATCCACCTGCCTCGGCCTCCCAAAGTGTTGGGTTTATAGACTTGAGCCACTGTGCCCAACCAAGGCTGTCATTTTTAAAGGTTTCTAATATTTGAATGGGCATCACTCTAAAAAAAGTTAATTTATTATTCCGAGGGGTAACGGAGCTAGCATTGATGTTCACCTGTCAGGGAAAACGGTAAAATACAGAGTAAAAGGCTTGGACTTGAGTTAGCCACGCCTGAGCTGAAGCCTTGATTCTGCCGCTTCATTGTTTTATAATCTTGGGCCAGATATTTCACCTCTCTTAGTTTCCCCTCTGAAAAAATAAAGATAATAATGGTATCTACCTCATGAAGTTCTGTGCTGTCTAATTCGGAAAATCTGTACATAGCACTGGGCTAGGCGTATAGTAAGTATTCGATCCGTATTTACTACTATTATTACTGTTTCTAGAAGAAATTTACACCTTACTGGCAAACTGGGGCTTGGATGGAATCTAAAATAGCTTCTAGTTTACCTGAGTTTATGGCATGTGGGGGAGGTATTGTCATGTTGTTGGCAGATAATAACAATTTGGTCGAAGTATCCCCTCTGTGATATATAAAGTTTTGTCTTTTCTTTTTCAAGTTGCTCCCGAGCAGCCTCACAACGTATCCTGCATACAGAATGGAGAACAAGGGACTGTGGCCTGCACCTGGGACAGAGGACGAGACACCCACCTATACACCGAGTACACTCTACAGTGAGTGAGACGCTGTATTTTTACAGCTGTCTTGTAGATCTTCTCTTAAATGACATTTAGAAATATCTGTTTCATTTATTTATTTTGAGACGGAGTCTTGCTCTGTCACCAGGCTGGAGTGCAGTGGCACTTTCTCGGCCCACTGCGACCTCTGCCTCCCAGATTCAAGCAATTCTCCTGCCTCAGCCTCCTGAGTAGCTGGGACTACAGGCATGAGTCACCACACCCAACTAACTTTTGTATTTTTAGTAGAGACGGGGTCTCACCACGTAGGCCAGGATGGTCTCGATCTCTAGACCTCATGATCCGCCCTCCTCTGCCTCCCAAAATGCTGGGATTATAGGGGTGAGCCACCATGCCTGGCCTATCTGTTTTATTTTTATCAGAAAGAAGAAACAATAGATATCTCTAGATAATTAAATACTTTTTTAAAAAAAGTTTCTAGTGTTTGTAGTTAAAAATGGTCCATTCATCTACAGTATGAGAGACCTAATGTCTTGGGTCCGAGTTCTAACTCCGAGTTCTCTTCAGGGCATCCAAGACCCAAGTTTTGGCTGTTCTTTCCCACTCTAGTAGGGTTAAACTGGCTGCATAAGATCTCTTCTTTTTTTTTTTTTTTTGCAACTGCAGACTCTTGGGGTCATGATACATAAATAAACTCTTCCTTGTGGTAGTTTTCCATTCCCTTGGAGAAGTTTCTTTTTAAAGCACATTGGCTGACCTAAGAGTCCATGAGAAGAGAGAGTCTGGGAGATTCTGTTCCTTGAAGTAGATTTGATGATCCCATTAAAGACCCAGCTGATTTGTGCTATTCTTGAGTGAGGAGATGGAGGAAAGGAGGGATTCTGCATTATTTGTGTTTTTTTAACCTAAAGGAAATAACTACCTACATGCGAGTCTCAGTATTGGGTAAAATAGCCCAGGATTCTACTCTGGCCACTGCTGTACTAGGAACTGACACTTCTGGACCATAGATGTCAAAGTGGCCATGGTCCTTATAATGATGTTTGGAACTGCCCCAGGGAGTCAAGATGACAGAAGGGTTTGGGGAATTTCAGCAGCGTAGGCTTGGTTACCTATCTATCTACACGAACATAAAAAAAATCTCAGTTCTACCAAAAAAGGGAGTTGGGTGAAGTGTAGTCTTATTTATGACCATATAATACAAATGTTCCTGGGGTGTATCACCTAGTCATAGATGGACCTTTAAAAATTGTCTAGAATTCTAACTATTTAAACGTTTTGTTCTTTTGTACTAAAAGTAGAAAGCAGCACATGAACCGTCTTGCTACCCATGTTTGTGTTTTGTTTACAGGTTAAGTGGACCAAAAAATTTAACCTGGCAGAAGCAATGTAAAGATCATTATTGTGACTATTTGGACTTTGGAATCAACCTCACCCCTGAATCACCTGAATCCAATTTCACAGCCAGGGTCACTGCTGTCAATAGTCTTGGAAGCTCCTCTTCATTTCCATCCACATTCACATTCTTAGACATAGGTACATTTTATTTCACTTTTCATGTCATTCATTAGCACTTCATAATTATTTTTAAAATCGCTCGAGTCTTGTTTATATGGTTGTTTCAAGAAAGACAGAGATTGATGGAAACTGACCAACAGGTATAGGCAAAAGATAGAAGTTGCTTTGATGCAAGGTAAAGGGTGCATGATTCTAGAGCTATGTAAAGATGGCTATACAAAATGAGATGTTCAACATTATTCTCTCTATCGGAGAAATTAGTCCCTGGATTCAAATCCCATGAAAGAATCTGACGAGGGAGGGTCCTGTGAGCTCATTCAGGATGCTCAGTGCAAGCCCTTCTTGGAGGACGTGTCCTTTCCCCCTCATGGCTACTTCCATCGTTGTGAGATAGGCTACCTGTGGGCCTACCAGGCTAGAGCATCGAGGTGCAAACTGTAAATTGTGTCAAGTCACAAATGCATCTTGCCCTGAGAATACTTACCTCCATCCCTGGGGCGAGCCAGTCCCAGTACATTTCTGAGCGAATGTAATTGGTCCAGTCGAATCAGAGCCCAATCTCACGCATTCCAAGTTCTGATCATCCAGGTAGAATTGGGCTGCCTGAAGTTCTGACCTCACACTGTGTGCTTCTCCCCTCTTTTCCTACAGCACTTCTTTGCATACTTATTAATACATACTATGAGTCTGATCATTGGTATTTACTATACACTTTTCCACCACATTTTCTCTCAGGCTTCCTCTCATTTTTTTCATAGACTGTTCATCTCTAGGCTACCTCCTTGCCCCAGTATTCTTTTCCTCTTTTCCTCTGTCCCTTTGCTGTGTATTTTCCCGCCAACCTTTCTTCTCCTCCTGAGGCAATCATTACTAACCACCTCTGGCTTCTCAGTCATTGGAACTCTTGGGTTTGGCACATTGGATTTTTAAAAACCACTGGATTAAGTGGAGTTGAAATTTACCACTCATGTTGGTAGTACTTATTTGGTAAAAATGATATTTGATTGGGGGGATTACTTTAAAGATCCAGAAGTGAATTCAACTTTTTAATTTTTTTCAGTTTTGTATATTTGGTGAAATATACAAACTATACAAACTCCCTTGTATATTTTACCAAACTGATGGTTGTACATCTCAGAACTGAGTTTTACCAAACTCTTTATAGCTCATGCCAGACAACTGCTGATCATAGATCCTGAACAACACTTTTTTGTTTGTCCTGGTTACTAGTGAGGCCTCTTCCTCCGTGGGACATTAGAATCAACTTTCAAAAGGCTTCTGTGAGCAGATGTACCATTTATTGGAGAGATGAGGGACTGGTAATGCTCAATCGACTCAGATATCGACCCAGTAACAGCAGGCTCTGGAATGTGGTAATGATCTTTAGAGTGAAGTTAAGAATATTGAGGGGTTCTTAATATTGCTGCGCAGGCCTCTGTGTTTTCATACAGTAAAATATGGAGTTTAAGAATATTTATCCCAAAAGTACACACTTGAGAACTATCAGAAGTTATGTACGTCCTCTATTGATTAAGAAATATCTTGGGCCGGGCACCTGTAATCCCAGAACTTTGGGAGACCGAGGAAGACGGATCGTGAGATCAAAAGAGTGAGACTATCCTGGCCAACATGGTGAAACCCCATCTCTGCTTAAAAGAAAAAAAATTAGCTGGGCATGGTGGTGCACGTCTGTAGTCCCAGCTACTCAGGAGGCTGAGGCAGGAGACTCGCTTGAACCTGGGAGGCAGAAGTTGCAGTGAGCTGAGATCATGCCATAGGACTCCAGATTGGGCAACAGTCTGAAAAAAAAAATCTTGAATTTTGATCTCTGATTCTGAAATTTTTAAAGCATTTGTAAACCAATATTAATTTTCTATAGTTTATTTCTAGTAGAGGATTCATTTCTTCTTATTATTTACCTCCTGTCCTGTTATTACTTGTCAGCATTTTCAAAAGATATTGAAAAGAGAAATACTAAGGAATGTCCACAGAGATTTATATAGAATTTAATATTTCAAAGGAAAGGCCCACATGTTAATATAATATTAAACATTACAGGGTTTAAAATAAAAGATATAGGATTATGATTCTTTCCAGGATTTTTATAAAATTCAATGGCTTATAATAACAAAGAATCAAGTCTACATATAGTTTATATTCAAGAGAGTGTAACTAATTAAAGGGCTTTTTTAAAAAGCTAGTTCTATGTTTGTGTTAAAACAGTCATCACATTCTAATTGTAATCAAATAAAAAAAACTCTAGTGTAGAAACTTCTCCAAGGCATTTGAAACTTGGTAGTCTTCAATTTTTACTTGTTTTTCAGCTGGTTTCAGGATCCCTGCTGAGAACCTACATAGATGGGTTTTTTCCCAGGAGATTTTGTTTTATTTTTAATGAGAAGCTATTATTTCAGATTAATATCATATCTATTTAGTAAGACAGTCATTGAAATTTCTTCTCATTGAATGGTAGGTCTGAAAAACAAATAGGATCAAATGGCCTGGGTTTTTTTTGTGTTTTTTTTTTTTCATTTTCTGTTAAAATTATTTAAATTAGCACTCTAGTACTGATTGGCACTTAAAAAAATGTCTCTTTCAAGGTTAATGTTACAAAGGCCAAAGGAAGACATGATTTGCTGGATCTGAAACCATTTACAGAATACGAATTTCAGATTTCCTCTAAACTACATCTTTGCAAGGGAAGTTGGAGTGACTGGAGTGAATCATTGAGAGCACAAACACCAGAAGAAGGTATGTTTCCACAATATGCATACATATCGGGGAAGAATTGAGGAAGAGAGCGAGAAGATGCAATGATTTCCTTGGAATAGAATCTTCAAAGTACTGGTGCTCAATCAAAAAGTATGATTGCATTAGTTAGCAAGTTAATTTTTATAGTAACTTAAGTATCGCTAGGAAATTTTTAACACCGGGTAAGTTCTACTCCTGTTTGCTATCAGTGATGTGGGTTACAGTGCTTGGTTATAACTCTTACCTCTCTTACTGTCTCAGTAACTTATTTCACAGAGCTATAACCAGTAATTAATCTCATTTCTTTGTAATTAAAGCTACATATATTTTTTTATTTTTGATTCTTTGAAAAGTAATGTGGCTCAGTAAGCCAGATGAGAAAGAAAGTAGGCTCTGGAGACCTATATTTCAAAATAAAATTTAGTATCCAGCAATCCTCTCTTCTCCAAACATTATGACGTCGTACTTCAAGCCTTTGATATTCACTGCTCAGATGAGAACCACCTGACCATCCATAGCTATGAAAAGGATAGCAAATGTATTTTTCAGTCTGGTGAATTTCTCTTTTTTGATAATTATTGGGAAAGGAATGTTACTGAAGTATAAGAAAATATTTTATTGAAGCAAAAATGCCTATATAAACTTTATGCCAATGTTAAATCTTTGGAGACACAAGAAATAGCCATCTGAATATTAGTTTTTAAAAGCACTCATTTAGTAATACAGTAGAGAGCCTGTCATAATTTATATAAATTTGGCTCAGAGGAAAAATTTTTGGCATATAATCCATTGTTCATTATCTGGAGATTTTGTAATACTAATGTGCAAAATCTAAATTCTTATTTGTGAAACTTATGGATATGAGTGCATGTAACTAGCCTCAAAATTAAGTTGCATTTATTTTCTGTGAGCTACTAATGGTTTTTGATAACTGATGATACTTAGCAGTGATACATCAATGACATTCAAGGAACTAAAGGGCCTTTTAGCAGAATATAATACCTAATACATAATTCGTAGAATAATATTATATTCTTCCTTACTTCCTGCATTAATTGCATTTTTTTCTTTTGAGACAGAGTCTTGCTCTGTTGCCCAGGCTGGAGTGCAGCGGCACAATTTTTCTGCCTCAGCCTCCCAAGCAGCTGGGATTACAGGCATGCACCACCACACCTGGCTAATTTTTGTTATTTTCAGTAGAGATGAACGGTTTCACCACATTGCCCAGGCTGGTCTCAAACTCCTGACCTCAGGTGATCCACCTGCCTCGGTCTCACAAAGTGCTGGAATTAGAGAATTGGATTTATTTATCTTAAAAAATTGTCTAAAAGTGAATTTATTGAACAAATGATAATTTATTACCACTCGTTTTATAATAAAATCTCTTAATGTTGAATGACTTGATCTCTGGTTGTCACTTTTATAATCCAGAGCTTACTCATTATATCCTTTTATTATACATAGTCAAAGTAATTTTTTTAAAGACTATCTCATGAATTATATTTTGTTTATATAGGTGGTACAGATAAAATTTCTGAAAATGGGCTATATTTTATATCCAAGTTCTACATAGTAAGTAGGCTGGGAAATATTTAAGTTATATCACATTAAGCTAAACTATAAACTAGGGAAACTCTGGGCTTATGAATTCTTGTCATTCTTACTCACATATGATAATGATCCAGTTAGAGGTGTGTGAAAATGTTTTTCTTTTCTTTTTCTTAAAGTGTTTTTTTCTGTTGAATTAAAAATTCTTCAAGGCAGCACAGTAACTTTCTCATTTCCTATAAAATAAACCATCACAACAATGATATAACTCATTATGGTTATGAACTCATGGATAATTATGAATTGAACTAGGAAGCTGGCTTATTCAGTCATTGCAGGTATTCATAAAGAGAGAAACCCATACTCTGAGACACACCACCTTTACCAAGCTCTGGTGGCTTCCTTTCTGTGTCTGAATCTCCCTTTTCTATATGTGATTTTTCTGTGGGCTGTCATAGGTCTTTTTTTCTCTTACTCTAAGCTGCTTGGTTTTCACCCCTTACCCGCTATTTCTGTCATCAGTTTCTTTATGAAACACCAACTGATGTAAACCTAAAAGGTGTGAATTTTTTTTAGCATGTCTTCCTTTAACTCTTTCAATGTGTACTCATATGTAGCTTGGCATTTAAAATAATTACTAGTGAGCTTTTTTTTTTTTTTTTTTTTTTTTTTTTAGATGCTCTTTAAAACTGTGAATGATTCTAAAACGGAGCTCTCTCTTTTGCAGCCTTTGCTTCTCAAACTTGAGAGGAACGTAACATCTCCGGATGGATCGGGTGCAGTTGTTTATATCATTTGAACAGTGGGCGAGGGCTTCCTTTACTCCATAGGGCCCTTTCCTATGTCATTAAATTCAGCTCCTCTCATTGAAAAACACTTTTTAAATGACTGCAAAATAAGGGGTAGGAGGAAAGAAGCTACTTTGCTGTATTTAAGTGGACAGTCTTGAAATCAAATCCATCAAAGGCAGGCCTGATAGTGACACTGGAAGAGGGCAGCCACATTTTTCTTCTAGTGGGAAAACATCCTTGAATTTGGGCTCAAGGTGCCCAGACATGCTTGAGAATATGCACAGCTATTAAGGGAAGGTGATCTCTCACCACTTAAAACACCAAGAAGAGATACAAAAATACCGATGAATCAGGTGTTCCTTAGCACTATCTTACCAATATGTGTCTCTGTTCATTCAGCATTTTAAAAAGTCTTATTTGCAGTTTTTGATCTTGCTCAACACTAATACAGCTAATAAAGGAAGTGTTGCATGTTCATTCATACTTGGGGCAGAGTAGTAAGGGAGAAACCCTCTCCCATCATGGTGAGGGCAGAGGTGAGGGGTGAAGGATCCCTGAAGTGGGGAGAAAATGAAATTACCAGTTGCAGCCACCTCTTCCCACATTGAGAAGCTAGGAAATTCATGCACTCATTTGTAATTTAAAAATATTTATTGCCAAGAAAAGACAGGTGGGAACAATTAAATATTAGAGGTTATTTTGGCATTAAAAAAATTACTAGTGAGTTGTTTTTTTTTTTTAAGGTACTCTCTAAAACTGTGAATGAGCTCTTTTTTGGCAGCCTTTTTAAATGACCGCAAACATCTCATAACAGTCTAGCTTGGGGGATCAGCAAACATTTTCTCTACAGGTCCAGAGAGTAAATATTTTCAGCTTTGCAGATCATATGATCTGCTACAACTACTAAAATGTGCTATTGTCACAGGAAAGCAGCCATTGACAATACCTAAACAAATAGGCATAGCTGTGTTCTAACGAAACTTTATTTATGGATGCTGAAATCAGAATTTTATGTAATCTTCACATGTCACTAAAAAGGATTGTTCTTTTGATTTCTTTTCAACCATTATCAAGACCATTTGCTTACAGGATGTATAAAAATAGGCAGAGAGCCAGATATGGCCCATGGGCCATAGTTTGCTGACTGCTAAGCTAGCTATACATGAAAGCATCATATTTGTGTCATTTTGCCTAAGGCTTGAAAATGAATGATTCTTTTCTCTTCTAAAGAGACTTATATCAAACACTTTCACTAACAGGAAAATTTTATGTTTGCGATTCCGTAACAGTCCCTACCTCCTTCTCTCCTTCACTTGTTCTCCTCTAAGCTCAACACCTATCTTGGAAGGAAGGAATGACTGAGAACACTTTTCAAGGAGTTATATGAAGAGCAGAGATATCAATCTTTTGCTGTTTTTGTTTTTAGAATCTGAGATAATACAGTGTCTTTGCAAAGGGATGAAGAGTCCAGCAGAGAATCAGAAGTTGATAGCACAGGGAAGGTGGGGATGATGGCTTGAGATGGATCTTTGATAAAGCAAGAGGGAGTGCGCCCCAGAACTCTAAAGAGTTGGACCGTGATGGAAGATGGTTCATCCACTGGGACATCAGGAGCAGTGCTATGTTAGGGAATTGCTTGCGGTAGTTTGAACGTTTTTATGGTGGAAAGAGGAAGGAATTTCCATCTGATTTCTTCCTTTTGCTCAGTGAAGTCTGAGGCAAGGTCATCTCTTTTTCATATTGGTGGCTTCTTTCACTTCAACCCTGCAGTTTTTTCCTTTACAGACAAAGTAGTTTCATCTGACTTCTATTTCTCATATTTGTATGTTTAGTCATTTGTGCTCATTTTTTTAATCACTTGAATATATTGGCCTTTGGCTTCTTTTTCTCACATGCCTATAATAGTTTTATCTGTATTTTGCCAGATAACATTGAGGTTAGAACTTTCAGTGATTCCGTGACAGTTGAATGTCAAAGATTCTCCTCACTATTAGCCATTATGCTGCTTTAAGCAGCAGTGATTTGATACCTCTGGTCATGAAATGTTACACTTTGCAGACTCAATTAATGGTTTCTCTCCCATAGAGGTATACACTGCAGGTGGGCACCATTAACATTTCAGTTTACTTGCAATTTACCTTGTGAAAAGAGTATAATTCTAGAATTTGATTCTTAACTCTGTAATAATCTGTTAGGTTGTGGATTTTTAATGAGTCAATGAGTGTTCCCTTTAGATTTCTTACCAATCAGTAATAAACTGAAAACATGTACTGCTATGGTACAAGTCAACTGGCTTTGACACTGAGCATACCCAGGTTTCCAAACCCGGATGTCTGGATCATCTAGTTTATGGAGTATTCAGGGCTTTGGTCAATGTAGTGAACTGTAATAAGAAACGCAGAGTCTTTGGAGACAGCAAGACCTGGCTCAGTCCTCAGCCTTGCTATTTACCAGACCCAAGTCTTTTGCAAATCATTTAACCTTTGTCAGCCTCCTTGTCCTCCCCTATAAAGCAGATGTAATCATAGGCACCCTCATGTTGTATGAGGGTTAAATGAGATGATGGATATAAAGTGTCCAGACACCACCTGATAGTAGGTGGTTGGTGAATGTCACATCCCCTTTCCTTTGTTGCCTGTGCTTTTTTTTCTTTTTGCATCTAAGTTAGCAGATACAAGTCCCCGGCTTGACTCCTGGGCCACTCTTAACACTCCTAGAGAATTAGAGCATTTTCAAAATGTTTTACATAAGCATTTCTTACCTCTAAGTCCTCACTGCAAAGGTAAATACTACCACTACTGGAAAAAGAGAGGAAATAAAAGAAGTGAATGTTTAGAAAAAACAAAAAAGAAAGGAGAGCAAGAGAGGCAGGAAAAGGAAGTGATGAAGGAAGAGGACAGAGCAAAAAGAAGGCCCACCTGGGCCGGGCGTGGTGGCTCAAGCCTGTAATCCCAGCACTTTGGGAGGCCGAGGCTGGTGGATCATGAGGTCAAGAGATCAAGACCATCCTGGCCAACATGGTGAAACCCCGTCTCTACTAAAAATACAAAAAATTAGCTGGGCATGGTGGCACGTGCCTGTAATCCCAGCTACTCAGGAGGCTGAGGCAGGAGAATTGCCTGAACCCAGGAGGCGGAGGTTGCGGTGAGCTGAGATCGCGCCATTGCACCCCAGCCTGGGTAACAAGAGTGAAACTCCGTCTCAAAAAAAAAACAAAAAATAAGGCCCACCTGATGAGGATGGAAGTACTGCAGAGAAACCGTCAGCCTTCTCAGAGCCAAGGCTGTGGGCTCTGGGATAAAACTGATTTGTGTTCAAAGCCTGGCATCCCTGATGATGAGCTCTGGGACCTTAGCAAGTTCCTTAATCTTTCAGCACTTCAGTTTTCAAATGCGGGAAACAAGAGCTGCAAGTGCTGAGCACTCACCAGGTGTCAGCACGATCCCCTTAAATTCCCACTCTGCCCATGTGATGTGTGGAATTCTCACCCTCATCTCACAGATGAGGAACTAGCCGAAGGACGTGGTTAGCATTTGTTCAAAGTCATAGAGCTGGGTTTACCCCGCAGACCTGGCTCTGAAGCTCACACTGACTGCTGCACTGCAGTGGCATCCTGGGTTTGAGGACAGGAGTCGGAGCTGTGGATGAGCCCACACAGCACCTGCCCCCATGTGCAGGTACTTATACTCCCTCGCTTTCTCTTTTGCTCTTCTCTTAGCTCCTGTTATCCAGGTGGTGGGACGTAACTTTTTAGAAATTTCTACCTGGTTAGATGGAACTTTTTTTTTTTTTTGAGACGGGGTCTCATCTCACCAGGCTGGAGTGCAGTGGCGCGTTCTCACTCACTGCAACCTCCGCCTCCCGGGTTCAAGTGATTTTCCTGCCTCAAGGCTTCCGGAGTAGCTGGGACTACAGGCACGTGCCACCACGCCCAGCTAATTTTTGCATTTTTAGTAGAGATGGGGTTTCACCATTAGGCCAGGATGGCCTCCATCTCTTGACCTCTTGATTAGCCCACCTCGGCCTCCCAAAGTGCTGGGATTACAGGCGTGAACCACCTCACCTGGCCTAGATAGAACTTTCTTTTTTTTTTCTTTCTTTCTTTTTTTTTTTTTTGAGACGGAGTTTCGCTCTTGTTACCCAGGCTGGAGTGCAATGGCGCAATCTCGGCTCACCGCAACCTCCGCCTCCTGGGTTCAGGCAATTCTCCTGCCTCAGTCTCCTGAGTAGCTGGGATTACAGGCACGCGCCACCATGTCCAGCTAATTTTTTGTATTTTAGTAGAGACAGGGTTTCACCATGTTGACCAGGATGGTCTCGATCACTTGACCTCGTGATCCACCCGCCTCAGCCTCCCAAAGTGCTGGGATTACAGGCGTGAGCCACCGCACCCGGCCCCCTAGATAGAACTTTCTAATCCAAAAAATAACCCAGTGCAGCCTCACCTGAAATAAACTCTAAGTTTCACTATTGAGGAAATTCGCTTGGCGCAGCTGAAGCCTGTTTTCAGAAGTGGTTCCACTCAATCAAAACAAATCTAAGTGACTTGATAGTAGAGAAAACAAAATTACTTCACCCACTCACGTGAGCATGAACTTATGCACACACACACTCACGCTCACAGGTACACACAGGAGTTGATTATTTAGTCTCTTTGCTAGTATGTTTGGCTGAAATTAAGTTGGGCCATATTTGACCATTGTCTTACAGATTGGTGGTTATTTATTTAATCAGTTCAACCTGGGTTTTGGCATTAAATAGATAATATCACCTGATATGCATTCATTATTAAACAATTATTAGGAGACTATTATATTCTAAGCACCATACTGGGTATGTGGCATATTAAATGAGATAGGCCTTCCCTTTAAGTGGATCATCGTCTAATGATCACAAATGAAATAATTATAACTACAACATGATAAGTCTAGGAATGGAGATGAACACAAGGTTTGTCATTTGTATTAGTGTATTTTTCGAAGTCAAAAAGTGTTTTTCTATATGAGTTGTATCTTTCTCTGTTGAGAATTCTTTCTGCATTTTAGTAAAAAAAAAAACAACACATATACTTTTAAAATTTATTTATTTATTTATTTATTGCTCTGTCTTATGGTGCTAAAGCCATATATACTTTCCTAGGGTTATTTTAATAATACATGTTTTAAGAGTAAGTTAAGTTCAGGTGCAGTGGCTCAAGCCTTGGGAGGCAAAGGTCCGTGGATCACTTAAGCTGAAGAGTTCGAGACCAGCCCAGGCAACATAATGAAACCCTGTCTGTACAAAAAATACAGAAATTAGCCAGGCATGGTGGCACACACCTGTAGTCCCAGCTACGCATGAGGCTGAGGCAGGAGGATTGCTTGAGCCTGGGAGGCAGAGGTTGCAGTGAGCCAAGATTGTGCCACTGCACTCCAGCCTCAGCAACAGAGTGAGATCCTGTCACCAAAAAAAAGTAAATTAAGAAACAAATTTCTCATCATTTTTTTAGAAAATTGTTTTTAAGGTAACCTTGTTTTTTTGACTTTTTGGCCAAAGATATCTATGTGCATTGTTAAACAAGAAAAAGAAAAAATACTGGAACACACACACACACACAAAATTGAAATTTTCCTCTTATTCTACTCTTCCAGAATCATTTAAAAACGTTTAAAGCTTTTCTACTGAGTAAATATGTAAAAATTTCATTTTTTTTTTCCTTCGAAACAGAGCCTACTGGGATGTTAGATGTCTGGTACATGAAACGGCACATTGACTACAGTAGACAACAGATTTCTCTTTTCTGGAAGGTAAGTTTTCAGTGTCAACTTAAAACTCAAGGGAATAATACTAGTTTCAAGGCTGAAAAATACCTATTTGCATAATGGCTTTGATAGGATGCTTCGGTGACTATTAGAGCTCATTTTCTCAGACATATTTATGACACACCACACAGTGTCATGTGCCTTTGGTGGATAGGGGTGAGAGCTGAGTTCCTTCCTCCACACGGTCACATCGTTTCAATCCCACTTGCTGTAAGATCAAGGTCTCTTTCCGCCCTCAGCCTTTCCACCTTCTGTCCCCAGCTACATCAACTCTTCTGACTGTTGTCCCCTCTGCCCACTCCCATCTCTCCCACATAAATATACCCAGCAGTGGCCATGTCATCTTACTTCTTCACTCTTCGGGAAATAAAAGATTAGAAAGCTGTGGATGGGGATATTTAATAATAGTTTTAAGTCATTGAAGAGGGAGAAAGAGGAAAGGAAGCTACCCTACTATAGGAACACTAATAGTGGTAGAAAATAATACAAACAGGCCAGGTGCAGTGGCTCACGCCTGTAATCCCAACACTTTGGGAGGCTGAGGCAGGTGGATCATTTGAGGTCAGGAGTTAGAGACCAGCCTGGCCAACATGGTGAAACCCCATCTCTACTAAAAATACAAAAATCAGCCGGGCATGGTGGTGGGTACCTGTAATCCCACCTACTGGGGAGGCTGAGGCAGGAGAATCACTTGAACCCAGAAGGCAGGGGTTGCATTGAGCCAAGATGGTGCCCTCGAGCCTGGGTGACAGAGTGAGACTCTGTTTCAAAAAATAAAAAGAGAAAATAATATAAACAGGAGTAGAAAGCAGTCTTTTCTCAGGAATGGTAGTAAAACAGTAGTAAATTAACCTTCCAGAAAGCAGTGAAGCCTGACATTATTATAGAATGTGAAAGTTTCACAAAGCGCTGAAAGCTGGCATTGCCATTTTATTTAATCTTCACAAAAGCCCCCTGAGGTAAGTACTGGTATGCCCACTTACCAGTGAACAAGAAAACAAATGAATGAACGAAAAAAGCGAGTATCAGAGAAAGGAAGTTCTTGCCCAAAGTCACCCAGCTACTAAGCACAGACCTGAGACTGAAACCTTATCCAGAACTGCTGCATCGTGATTCATCTTTGTTGAAAGAAATGCTGTGCGACTTGAATTGAGCCACTGATTGGCAATGCTCATAAGAGGTTTCCAGGTGGACTTCCCTCCTCTTTATTTCTCAGAACTCACATCCGCTTCACTCTACCTCGTCAGTTAAGGATAGAAAGTAAGTTTTGGAATTAAGAATCTGAAGGAGCACAAAACCAGAACAGTAAGAACAGCAATTGTAAAGTCCTCTGATGGGGTTCGCATGATGGATTTTGATCACTGCACTCTTCTTCAGTTTTAAACAAAATGAGTTATTTTTTCTTCTTTCTTCTCCGTCTCTCTCACACACGCATAAAATGTCTGGTATAAGAGGAGACTACTATAAATAGCTTGGTGAATCATGATCAAGCTCTCTACTTTGAAACTAACACTGCAGCTCAAAATTTATTTTAAAATAAATCTACTTTTAATAGCAAGACAATTCTCAAAATAGGACATTTAGAACACATAATTTATGAATATTATAGAAAAACCCAGCTCAATTATTTCCTTTTCATTAGCAAGTGACTAGTTAAAATCAAAATTCCCCCTCTCATGTAAAGATGTCTCCTCCAAAAGTGTCCTCAACAGTGATCTGGAAAGATATGTTACGTGCTGTTCTATTCCACGCCCCTCAACTCAAGGGTTTCTCTCAGTAGAATGAGGGTAATGATACTGGTATCTGCAAAGTTGACAAGACCATTTGGGGATCAGCAAATGAGAGGACACAAATGTACAAATCACAAGGGCCACCAGTGTAAAAATCAGCAGTGCTGCATGATGCATGCTTATCCTAATGGTGAAAGCTCCATGCCTGTGTGCTTCTCACTGTAACAAAGCAAGTATATAGTGGACGTCATCTTGGTTCTCTGAAACCAGCATCAGAGTGAAGTCAAAATAAGTATTTGTTAGCCACGAGTGATGCTTGGTAAATGTGAGTATGCGATTTATTCTCTGCTGCCCTGATTTTATTTCTAGCTTCACAAAGCTTAAGTTCTAAAAGGAGGTCTTGGAATTTGGAGGGACTTCAAGGCTCTTCTAGTTCAGCCATCCTTTCATTATAAACATGGCTCCTACTCCTGCCAGGACAGACAGATGTCTCAGTGGGGACATTCTGGGACAGGGAGAATCTCACTTTGTAGTCTGCCCATGCCATGGTTGAACATCTCTTATTGTTTAGAAAATATTTCCTTCTGTACAGGCAGGATTGTGGGCCCAAGAAGAATGCTTAGGGTTGGAACTGGCTTATGATAAGAAACCAAAAAGACCAGGTGCAGTGGCTCACACCTGTAATCCCAGGACTTTGGGAGGTCAAGGTGGGCAGATCACTTAAGGCCAGGAGTTCGAGACCATCCTAGCCAACATGGTGAAACCCCGTCGCTACCAAAATACCAAAGAAATTAGCTGGGCATGGTAATGCTCAGCTAATCTCAGAAACTTGAGAGGCTAAGGTAGGAGAATCCCTTGAACTTGGGAGGCAAATGTTGCAGTGGGCTGAGATGGCACCACTGCACTCCAGCCTGGGCAACAGAGCAAGACTCTATCATCAAGAAGGAAAGAAAGGAAGGGAGGGGAAGGGGAAGGGAAGGGAAAAACAAAAAAGTAAGCACTAGAAGCTTCTACAACTTGATGTCAGATGGTGGTCATCACAAGCTAACCTCAAAACCTTCACTGACTCTCTAGTCTCAGAAGCTCCCCAACGAAAGTTGGATCCAGTCCTAAACTGTCGAAAGATGGATCCAGTCCTAAACAGTCACAGGATTCAGTCCTTTTATGCCAAACCTGGGCTTCTTCAGTGGCCCCAGACAGGCCGCTCAACTGGAGATGGGGGGATGGAAACACTGACCAGAATTACCGAACAGTTGTGCTTTGGACCACAGAAGCACATAGTTACAGACCTCTAGAGCCAAAGGATTTAACTGGCATGTAGTCTCACTCCACATTTTAAAACACAGAAACTCAAGTGTCAAGAGGTGATTTCCAGTGAGGGGATTTCAGGTGATTTGAGTCTGCTCTTATCCCAGCCTCTAACAGGGATTCCTCACGCCGGCTTGGGAATTCAGGCAGGCTTGGGAATTCAAGGGAGTGCCCCAGTACAAGGGACTCATCTAAGTGTCAGGCTAGCAGGAAAACTTTGCAGCCAGATCACTTTGTGATAGGGCCCAAGTCATACCTCACTGAGGAAAGGGAGCAAGAACATGTGTGGTGGGTTTTGTGGGTTTTTTTTTTTTTAATTTGAGCAACTCTGAGAAACCAAATGCAAGAAACACCCACCACTGCAAGGAAGAGAATTTCATGTCTTGGTATCAAAGGAAGCCCCAAGTAAAACCCCATTTGCCTGTGAACAAAGTGAGAGCACGTTTCTTTTACATATGGGGAAATATGAGATGGCCTTTCACTTTTGTAGGATGTTGACATTAGAGAACAACTCTGTGCTGACTGGGTGCAGCCCCGGGGGTGGGGGTGGGAGTGGGGTGAGTGTGGGTGTGAATGGATGAGTGTGAGTGTGTGGAAGGTGTGGGAGTATGGGTGTATGTGAGGAGCGTGTGAATGTGTAAGTACGTGTGTGTGTGTGTGTATGAATGGAGCAGGTGTCAGTGTGTGAGGGTGTTGGTGAAGGAGACCTTTGCTTTGTTATGGTTTGTCACTCCTTTTCCCATGCCGTAGTTTCTCCAAAAGTACCATTTTCTCAAAAACATCTTGTCCTACTTTTTAAAATCATAGCTTTTTGTTTGTTTGTTTGAGATAGGTCTCTCAGGGTGGAGTGCAGTGGCACAATCTCAGCTCACTGCAGCCTTCACCTCCTGTGCTCAAGTGATCCTCCCACCTCAGCCTCCTGAGTGGCTAGGACTATAGGCCTGCCTCACCATGCCCAGCTAATCTTTGTTTGTCACAGAGACAGGTTTCACCATGTTGCCCAGGCTGATCATGAACTCCTGGGTTCAAGCAATCTGCCCGCCTCAATCTCCCAAAATGTTGGGACTACAGGCGTGAGCCACCACACCTGGCCCATAGCTATTTTTAAGAGGACAAATACTTTCAGTGTTGAAGCCAAAAAGTACAGCCTAATCTATGAAATGAAACAAAGACACCTGGGTATTGTTAAAACCACAAATGCAATAAAAGTAAAAAATGTTGCTTGATCACAAACAGCCCCAGTATTAGACACCTTTACAAAAAGGGGCTTTTAGCAATCCTCTCCTTCAAACTTCCTTTCTCCTCTCCTATGCTGTTTTATATTGTGTCTTTTGCTTTAATTAAGCATCTCAGTCCATGATTCCAATATACTTCTTTTCTAATTAAAACTGCATGTATCTTCTAAGAAAACCACCTTTCCTATGTATACGAAAAAGATATGAGAACCAAGTAAAAGCCACATTAACCTTTCTATAATTTATTTAGTGTCCTCTCATTATCTTGATCATAGCAAATAACAAACTTTCTGAAATTTGTTTGAGGCCATGAGTCTGGGGGAGAAATACTCATGTTAAGCTCATTCATTCATTTAAACAAATATACAAAAGCTCCTGCGGAGCTGGGATGTGAAAGTGAACAAGACAAATCCAGTCCTCATGTCCTGGAGCTCGCAGTCCAGCAAGAGGACAGGAGTAGGAGCAGGATGCTGAGGACACTTGGGTGTTAGGGGGCAGTTCCAGGTTCAGCTGAAGAGATGATGGCTGGGCTTGCCCAGTGGAGTAGGGGAGTGGTGAGCAATCAGAAAGAGCCCCCTCTATGGATTTGGCATGGAAAGGATTACTTTAGTGAAGCACTGTTCCATGGAAATAGAAGCAAGCCACAAATGTGAGTCACATGCATGATTACAAATTTTTATGTAGCCAAATTTTACAATGTAAAAAGAAGCAG